AGCAAAGAGATGAAGCACTTTTGAAATATGGGGAAAGCCAAAAACTGCGCTTCCTCCAGTTCCGTACCATCGATTCATTAATGCTGAATTCTCCTCTCTATTCCCATGTTGTTGCAGTATATTAATAACTAACCTCGTATTGTGGATGGATCATCTCAGTTGTTCTCCTGGTCCGTTTACAGCATCCTGCTATGCGACTGCATTTGTCCCTGACCATCAGACCCCCACGTTAAATTTTATCGAGTGGAGAAAAAACGTTAGCGTTCATCCTCCAGCTTCACTGTTTATATTATGCTAACATAGCTGTGTCGCTAGCGATCACGTAGCACATCATTATATACCAGCTAGCTCAACTTCAGTAACCCTGCAAACGTCACTGCTGTTTAGTTTCCTGTCTTCATTTATGTTGGAAGTGACAGCAGAGCCGTACGTTTGAATGCTTCAGAAATCTCTCAGTCAGAACATGCTATGTCATGTTTAGGTGGAAGCTAGCGGGTACCGCATAAAATCGGTTTGAGGTCAGTGAGCACAACCAGAATTCATACATGAGGCGCACTGTCGATCTTTGAGAAAATTAAAGGCTTTTGCCCCTTGTAGTGTGGAAAACACGTTATACAGAAGAACAGAATATATCACGATATAAGTCGTTACCGCACATGCTTCAAATTATACCACGAAATGGATTTTAGGTCCTATCGCCCAGCCCTAGGTGAAACCTCACAAAACCATTTCATCAACCAGCTAAAACAGTAAATGAGAGCAGGTGAGCGGATTCAGCACAAACACAAAGCGTGGACCTGACGCATCTGTGAGCTGTCGGCTTTCTCACAAGACGGCGTGTACACGACAAGCCGTCGGGGGTGAAAGACGACAGCTCGCAGATTCTGATGCTGCAGGTTTTGTCACTTTCCGACCAACATTCACGAAACCAAAAGATTCAAACTACACTTCATGTTTGATAACATCGTCATGAATTCCCTCTGACTTCTGCTGCTTTGCTGCCACCACGGTAAAATCCCTGAACAGCTCAGTTTCCTGTTTTCTGCATTATTTACTTGCTAATTACCCACCAGTCAAACATCGCTGTCCACCGCTGTTTTGTTTTTTTT